ATAGAGGGAGAAGGTTGAAAATGGAAATTATAGAAATCTTTGTTTTGTCTAGCTCTGCTTATGTCCTTCCCTCTCACAGAGATTTTTGAAGTAATTCTACGGATCATCGTAATGTTTTTCATTCTGTGTATGAAACCGTGAAGATTCTGATAAAATGACACTTTCGCAAGAAAGTTTTTGGTTTCTCTGGCAGAACTTGAATTAATCAGGAGGCTTTGTTATCATAATAGAAGTCCTGATGAACACTTATCGTTTAGATGGAGTGTATGGTATCGACTGGTCCTTTCGATATCACCCTCAAAGTGATGAATGTGGAATCTAACGAAAGCCAAGCAGGAGAGTGTGGCTCATATCCAATATGGGCTGTCATCAATAGGTGTATAGTTCTTTGTGCAAATAGAAAGTACTCCGAGGCTGAGACACTGTATAAGGTTAGCTCATATCTCGTAAAGTCTCTATTGTAAGTAATAATTTTGTTTTTAGGAGATACAAGAATCAACTTCCTCCAACGAATTGTATAGAAGAACCGTTCTAGCCCTTGGAATTTTTATTTACTCGAAACTGAGTCGTGCACAAGACGCATTTCGATTGATTGAAGACTTGCGAAAAACACAAGATGATGAAGATCGTCACGTAACTCAAGAGGTCACTTTTGAAAAACTTATCCATCAAAAATTCCGCGATTTGAACTGGTTTATGTTTAGGGGCGTCTGAGCACAGCAGAGGACCCAATGTTAGTTTTGGCACGGATAGAGGCGGAAAGGGAGTTGCCGATTGTGTGACTTGTTTTTATTAGATTTATGATTTCATTGCCGACCATTGCTTTTTCTTTGCAATTGTTTGATATGCAGTGTTTTTTCTAATAATGTTCATTCCTGTAGATTGATCTATTATGTTCAACTCAGGCCTTTTGTTACCTCTTTGTAAGATCTGTTACGGGTTAATTTTCTATTCTTTCTTCGTTCCTCTCACTTTGTTTTTGTAGGTGATTTTGTCATGTTTTGTCGACGATAATTCAGTGTATGTTGCAATACAAGTTTTTATTCAAATTGTGCTCAACAATCTTGACACAACAAAAAGCTTTCTTAGCACTACTACCTTGATATATTGGTGATATATGGGAGTTTTACCTTAATTTTCATGTCATTAACGTCTACAATGTTGCCGTGATGCGTTGCCTTGACTAGCTTTGCTTACTAAATTTTGTAAAAAAAAATATTTGACACACTTCATGAAGAAAGCTATTTAGGCGTCTTTATCCAGTTTTTTTTTTGCTATTTCATATTCTTTTTCAAAGTGCGTTTTTTCGAAGTCGAATTGACATCTAAGGCTTCGGGCATAATTCACCTGATCACATCGCCTCGCGATTCTCCCAAGACGACAACTGTTACGAGTCCATTGCATGCCGATTCTCCTCATTTGGTTGTGATAATTATCCGACACGAGTAATCGTGACTGACTATCATAACCGAAATGCAAGATGGTGGAAATGCAGTGGACTTGTAACAGTTGTTATGTTGGGAGGATCGCGAGGCGATGAAATCGCCTGAACTATGTGAGAGGGCTAAGTTGTCTGTATATTTACCAAAATCCTGCAAATGCTTTGATATTCAGAGATTCCTGGTTTGCCTCTCGCCTCTTCGCATGTTATGCTTTCGGTTGTTCGAGGGGCCGGTCGAGGGTGTTTGATATCTTATCGATACGCCGGAACGTGAGTCGAATTGTTGTAAAAAGGTTTTATCCTAATTTCTATTATTTTTTAGCAAATATACATCCTCTGCCGATGTGGTAGTTTGTGGAGGTGGTATTGCGGGTACTTCAGTTGCCTATCATCTTGCTAAACGAGGAAAACGTGTTTGCCTTTTCGAGAAAGATGCGTGAGTTTTAGTTTTTTGAATCCTATCAAGCTTTTATCGTGGCAGACGGGGTTTCTTACCGATGTACCTAAGGCAAATGTTACTTTAGAGTTGGTTGCGGAGGTGCCACCGGTATTAGTGCCGGTTTGGTTACAGCACCAGTTTTCTTTCAACATGCTACTACCCGACATCTTGCTCGGAAATCTTTGGATTTATATACAGAACTTGCTCAAGTAGGACGTTTTAGTGAGT